CCGTGAGGAAGTGAGTTCTGTCTTGAGAGTCCTCTCGATGTGAGGTGTCGCGAGCGCTCAACCTTGAGAGTCGACATTCTTCCTGGGCAGCAAGCTGGTGGGAGACGGGCGAAGCCTCTGAAGGGCCCTGGACGAAGCACTCGGGTCACCGTCACCATGCCAACCCGCTGGGACTAGTGCACGCATGCTTGGGCCGCAAGTCCTTGGTTCTGCTGCTTGCGCAATAGAGGTCTTCCCGGGCATGCCAGCCTTTTATGAGACGCTTACCAGACCGTCTATAAATATTTCTGGTTGGGGACTCGGATCTGAATCTGGCTGTGATCGTCGTCCTGTTTGCGACGTTAAATAATTCCTGAGGAGATGGGGGCTCTCCTTAAATCCGTCCTGATCAGCCAGATCAACCGGGTGTAAGGCTCATTCCGTACGAGGGTAAATAAGAGTGGACTGGCTGGCATGTTCAGCAATGACTTGGGGCACAGGGGTGGGCCGGATTGCACACCTTCAGACACGCTGCTCAACCAGATGCTCAGGAACGTTGACACAAAGTGACCAATCAAGAAGGATACAGGGGGAGGGGGGATTCCGGTAGTTGTTCACAGTGGCAATCAACTATCAATCTGCCATCCAGTATATATTTCCAACAGGAGATGTTATTTTTATTTTGATTATCTAGTTGTGACAGACTTTGCTAACAACTGACAGACAACTATAGATAGATTAGATCTTTGCTGTAGTGCAATCTGTTCCAGAGTAATCTAAAAATATAATTAATATATCATGTAGGACCTGACATTAGTTACAACTATATCACCTAACTGTTTCTGTTCAGGCCGACCGTAAGTAGTTGTGTATCATATGCGGATGTGTGTCAAGCTAAGGTAGGATTCAGTGTGGATTCTAGTTTAGATCACACACACTGTAGCTCATGAGTGATGCAAGCACTAGTGAGGAGGAATTACTAGTGGACGACCATAGGACTACTCGCGGGACTGCCCCTAGTCGACCCTTGACATTCTTGGAGTTAGGTCCAGGAGACGAGAGAAGATTGCGGAGAGAGGCTAGAGAGAGAACAACGGCAAGGAGAGCGAGGGTAGCTGAGGATAGTGCCAAGACTAGAGTCTCAGCTAATAACGGTGCAACCATGGCTACCTCATCCATGTCGCAAGTCTCTACACAGTCCTCTTCGTCAGGAGTCAGTCAGAGTGGTACTCAGGTTTCCACTAGTCAGATTGCTAGCTTGCAAGTCAGCCAGCAAATTCAACTCGCGGCGGAGGATTTGGAAATCCGCCAAGCAGAAGAACTTCAGGATGAGCTACAACGGCAGTTGGACGAAGCAGCAGAGAGGAGAAGAAACGCCATACTTAGGAAGGGTAGGCTAGGGAGTAGAATGCAAGAGCTAGGCAGGCTGGAAACACTAGACGAGGCGACATTAGACCCTGCTGGCCGTGTGCTGCGTAATGCTCTACTCTCAATGGCAGAAGCGCAGAATGTCCAGCAGGAATTGTTGGCCGAATTAGTGGCAGGCCAGAGACAAATCCAGGCTGAACTTCGGGCTCCTCGCACAGTAGTGAGGCAGCCACAGTTTGTTGTAGTTCCCCCTGTGGGTGCGGGTCCTTCATCGATGCCGCAACACACAGGGTCAACTTTCTCTCCATTGTTTGGCATGCCCCCTCTAGGTGGTTTAGCAGCAACTAGTGGTCCGGTTCAAAGAGTCTCAGCCGTACCATCCACGACAGTGGTAACTACAGTCCCACTGTCAAGCCAGGCCCAAGTTAGTGTGCAACAGCCTATTTCAGTGGCTATGCAGCCGCTGCAGCAAGCCCCTGGGCCCATGCAGCCTATGCAGTGGATGCCCAAGATTCCTCTGCTGAGTCCTAAACCTTTTTCTGGAGACAGGAAAAAGGATGAGGATCTGGATACCTGGGTAAGGACTGTGCCTACATATGTGAGGCATAAGCTTACAAGGCCAGAGCAGGAGGTTGTAGTTGTTGCGTCCTTTTTAGAAGGATCAGCAGCACGTTGGTTGAATGGGTTAGTGCAGCAGCAGGGCTATGGTCAAAATTTGGATGCATGGGCACATGCCCAGACATTGGAACAATTCGTACAGACTGTGTACAGGAGATGGCATGACCCTCAAGGGGCTCAAAAGGCCATCGACGCGATCAATAATCTGTGTGCCAAAAAGTACAAGAATGTTCGCGAAGTCACAGATACTGTAGAACTTCTGATCGTAGTACCTGGTGTGCGCTTTGACGCTCAAGTACTCCTTACGGATTATTTGAGATGTCTTCCATCAAAAGTCAGGACGAAACTGGTGGACGAAGCCTACGTAGACCAACACAACTTGCAACTTTCAGCAGGAAGGCCTTAGACATAGAGGCAAAGCTGGGATCCGCGCATCACGCATCCCATGATGGTAGGAAGAGACTGCCCCAAGACTGGAAGAAGAAGGGTCAGTTAATGTTCGTTGACCACAATGGTCAAACAACTGAGATTGACGATTTCCCAGACCTTGGGTAGTTGACAGAGCAGGACGGGGCCAGCGAGACTTCGGATGGGGGAGTCGTGGCGCCCATCAAAGAAAAGGCTAGGGGGACCGGGAAAAAGAAGGTAGGACGGTCCACGGGTCAGGGCGACCAGGGAACACCCGCATGGGTGAAAAGTAGTTTAGATTACGAGGTGTGGAGGGACCGAGTTGCCAGGGGCACATGCATGAACTGTGGCAACTATGGCCACACGTCCAGGACTTGCCGCGATAAGAAGGTCACCACGAAGGTAGCCTCACCAACGGTGGTGGGTTTATCTTCAAACCCTGGGAGTGCTTCTGCAAGCAGCTCACAGGGAAACACCTCGGGCCAACAGGAGTGTTAGCCGCTCTTACTCGCGCTGAAGTGGTTACGCTGCCTTCCCCACTTCAGGTGTTGGGCAAGGCTAGTGACCCACGTATCGCCCCGCAGACACATTCAGACCCACCGACGCTTTGTTCGAGAGATGTGTCTGAGGCCCTAGAAGAGTTAGAGATTGAGTGGTCAGGGAAGGACCCCAGGGACTCTTGGGCGATGATCAGTAGAGGTCCAAAGCTGTCTCTTATACACATCTAGATGTGTATAAGAGACAGGCCCTAGATTGAGTGGTCAGGGAAGGACCCCAGGGACTCTTGTGCGATGATCAGTAGAGGTCCAAAGGGTGAACATTTCGTGGTAGAAGTAGATGTAGGTGGCCGCAAGGTTGGCGCCTTCGCAGACATAGGCTCTACACGAAATTTCATCAGTCGTGCTTGTGTGGATAGACTGCGCTTAGGGGATCAAGTGCAGCGGCTTAGCAGCACTGTAGCTTCTACGCTAGCCAACAAGCACCAAATGGTTGTAAAGGACTATGTCAAGG